GTGAGTGAGTGTGTGTGCAGCATGGAGCCTGCTTGTCAAACTGACGCAGAGTCAGGAAGGTTTCTGATCAGCCTGACGTGTGTTTGTTCCGTAGTTTCATGTGATGTGATTAGTTTTGGTTCCACATTGTAATTTAGGGACTTAAACATTTTGTCTGACAAACGTACGTCGTGTCGTCATTGCCCACGTGGGCGTCGTCTACCTATATTGGTCTCTGATTGGTTTGTAGTTGGCGTCTGATGTGGGCATGTTGTCAGTTGGGGGGGAAGTAGTTTTTCTTTTTGAATGGGGAAATGAATTAAGAGCTTTGGTTGCCGTGGTAACATGACGTATCACTGCTAGAATCAGCACCTTCAAGTGCAGTACTCCACAGTACCACAGTACCACAGTACTCCACAGTACCACAGTACCACAGTACTCCACAGTACTCCACAGTACTGCAGTACTCCACAGTATTCTACAGTACTCCACAGTAGTACAGTACTAGACAGTACTCCAGTACTACAGTGCACCACAGTACTCCGTAGTACTCTACAGTACTCCATACCTCGTGGTTTAAACATTATATCGTCGGAGGTGAAGACTGCAGCTGCTTCCTCTTCCTGTGATTGGTCCAAAAGTCCAAACTATCCAACAAACTGTTTTCACTGTGAACCAACAGAACCAGGTTCAGTTTGATCCAGACCCAGAACTCCTCTTCTGGTCTGAGGAACCGTTCACAGCTAGAGTTCAGGTTCAGACTGAACTGAAGAGTCAGAAGGTCTGAAACAAACACCATGTTCAAGTCTTACATTTCTTTCAGATTGAAGTTACTGGTTTTCCTCCTCGAGGGCCATGTCACCTCAGTTATTTGCCTAATGTCTCAATTACCATGGTAACAACCAGATGTCCTGCCCATTTGGAATGATTTATAAAAAACGTGTGAACATGTACATTTCTGAGATGGACTTTGATGTGGTGGAGTGTGGTGGACTGTGGTGGACTGTTGATGACTATGGTGTACTCTGGTGAATCTCCAGTGAGATTCAGGTTTGAGGTTTGATCTGGATTTACAAAAAAAAAACTAAAACACTCAGACTGCTCCTCCTCCCCCTGAGCAGAATCTGTCATGATGTCATCCTGCCATCAGCTGATTGGTTGGAGGTACTGCTGCTGACCAATAGGAATTCAGTGTGAAGTCACCCGTTGATGTCATTGATCTGTTATTGATCAGAATAAGTTACAATAAGGCTTTGATCCAGTAGCAGAGAACACAACAAGAAGTCAGAAAACTTTATTCCCACTTAAATGAGTTCAAAAAACATTTGGAAAATTTCACTTATTTCAAATGTATTTTTAATAAATAACATTAAAACAGTGAAACACAAAAAGAAGAAGAAGAAGACGATTACAAGTTTCCCCTGAATCATATTTCACAGAAGTCAACAGCTTTCATGTTTTCTTAAAATGATGGATCATTTCCTGTGGTAGCTCCTCCCACAGCCACTGACGTCACTGTTCCAACAAATGTTTTTTTTGTGCAGTCCAACTTTTTTCAGCGTCGAACCAGAAGCATTGTGGTCAGCGTCCTTTTCATGCTGTTCACTGTTTGGCTCCAAACTGGATGTGGAAGTGAAACTGATCACATCATAGCTGTCATGATCAATACGATCATCTAGTAGTGTTATACGTTTCTCTGAGGTACAAAGTCTTGATTATTGATTAATTATCAGATCACAAACAGTTTATCAATAAAACTGATCTGAGGAAACTTTGGAGTCAAATTAAAACCAGGGTCAGGTTAAAACCTCGTAACTCCAGGTTTGACGAGCGTAATGCTCACATGTGCACGTTAATCAGACACTTTGTGCTGGTGACATTATCATAATGATAGCAACCAATCAGTTTCCGTTTGGGACAAACAACCAAGCTGAGTGTCGTCTGTCATGGCCGACTCAGTTTAGCTTCTGCCAAGTTTGGTTTGAGTGGTTTATGTTCGAGAGAGCGATCAATAACCAATCGTCATTTATTATAATCATGGTTGCATCTGATTGTGGTAGTGGATCCTGATCGTGGACTATGATCACAACAAGACTTCTAAAAAATAAAATATGTCTTCTCACTTCTACCATCACTGACAGTAACTCCTCAGTTCATTTACTTTCCATGATATGACAAACAGTTTCTTCTAATGTGGTAAATCTGTTGTGTTGATGTCTTCAGTTCATCAGCATCTATTGTCCTCGTGTCCTGGAGACGGATCCTCACATGTGACTCTGAGCTTCAGTTACTGCTCAGAAAGTGTCTCTGTAGTTTGACTCTTGTTGAGTTCAGGACAGAGGACGTTGCTGCTTGTTGACATCAATGAGACAAACTGGGATATGTGAATATATGCAAATACAATGTGATTACATTTGATCATTTATCAATAATCTCTCCTTCAATCTGATGTCAGGACCTGTATTTACATGAATGTGATCTGATTGGCTCGACGCATTGGAAGTGACCTTTACCTGGAGATAGGAGATTTTATGAATCAGTATTTACATCATCAACAAGCCATCCAATCACAGCAGTCCTGAGGTGTTGTTGTGCATATGACAATAATCCCTTGAATCGTGTTCACAGTCTCCATGGTGACAGACGACGTCACCGCCAGCTGTGGGGCAGGAGGAGGGGGGGCAGCGTGCTGATCTGATCCGGGCCGAACCGGGCCAAGCACCGCAGAGCCTGCAGCAGGAGGGGGGGCGGGGCCACACCGCGCAGCCATCCAAACACTTCATTTCCCAGCAGGCTTTGCCAGCGCTGTGGCTCCTCCTGCAGGCAGCGCGGCGGCGACGCGTTGGGCAGAAACAGCAACAGCAGTTCGAGGCAGCGCTGCGCGTCACTTCGCTGCGCGTCGCTTCGCTGCGCGTCGCAGGAGACGAGCACCTGCAGCGCGACATCGAGTCCGTGAGGCCGCGCGCCGTGAACGAGCAGCAGCAGCAGACAGTCAGCGCGCGACAGCTCTACCGCGAGTTGCACCGCACTCTTGCCCGCGTCCGTGACGTGCACGCAGCTGCCGCATCCGTCCAGGAGCTCTCGCCGCTCCGCCTGCGTGCCGCAACGCTTTAGCGTCTCCACCATCGCGCTGAGGATCGACACGCGGTCGTAACGCACCGCCACGCTCAGGTGCGGTGTGCCGCTGCGGCGGCGGCAGCAGAAATTGCATCGCGGTGCATAGAGCGCGCTCACCGAGAACCTGTTGAGCAGGTAACGTGCGTAGTCCCGGTGGTCGTGCACGAGTGCGTACAACAGAGCCTCCGACGGCATGAAGGCGCGAGCGCGTCCGTCTTCCCAGCTGAACACGTCCATGCTGCGCGTGTCCTCCAGCCGCCACACCGGCTGCCGCTCCCGCACCGCGCGGTAGAACGAGAACGCGCTCCGCTCGCACTGACGCTCAGACGGAGACACGAGGTCCTGAGAGGACAGAAGCCAGGGCATCCTGAGACCAGGTCCTGGATCAGGGTCCAAGTACCAGGTCCTGGATCAGGGTCTAAACACCAGGTCCTGGAT